AAGAGGTCCACTTTCAGTTCGGAGCCCCCTTTCGATAAACGAAAGAACTCCATTCTTTTCTCTTCGATTAAGCCTTCCCATGGCTATAACCGAAGTTGAAATTTCACTTCGATAAATGAAGGACTCATCTTTAGTTTAGGTAACCAATCATATAAAAGGTAAGTTTACCTATATTTTCCAGATTCTCAAAGTGGAGACCCCACTTCTAGTTTTTTTTGCGCTGAAAATAGAATATAAAATTCTTCCTTTCCAGAATCAAGGAATAGAATATAAAATTCTTCCTTCCTTGTATTTGGGTTCGCCATTGTGACAAGTTGTTATTAATAACACCAGAATCCATGCCTTACACGCATGGGGAATTTCATCCTGAATCCTAAGAAAGGATATGCCGACGCCTAACACGCGCTGCCGGTTTAGTCTTTTTCCGTAGAAAAAGACACCAGAGTTCGATTCTGGGGTATTTTATCCTGAAACCTAAGCAAGGATAAGTCTGTGCTTAACCCGCGCTGCCGGTTAGTTCTTAACCGTTAAAAAGAACACCCGTTCACATATTCAACATTGTGGAAGGTTGTTATTAATAACATTTTATCCCGAGGCCTAAGTAGAGATAAGTCAGCGTCTAATACACGTTGCTGGGTAGCCTATTCCCATAACAATGGCGAAGTCTATGTATTCGAAGTCATAGCAACAAGTCTCAGAGGATTCAATCTCTGAACGCAACGTTACATGCGAACATCCCGAAGCCTAAGTAGGGATAAGTCAACGTCTAATACACGTTGCTGGGTAGCCTATTCCCATAACAATGGCGAAGTCTATGTATTCGAAGTCATAGCAACAAGTCTCAGAGGATTCAATCTCTGAGCGCAACGTTACATGCGAACGGGTTTAGACAATCCGCATGCTAGCCCGATTCAAACGGTAGTCAGTAAAGGCTAATCAAATCCGTTGAAGGCTGGGGGTTAGCCAAAAATCCTAAAGTCAACACCTAGCACGTGTCGCCGGGTAGCCTATTCCCGTAACAAGTGGTTAAGCCTATGTATTCAACATCATAGCACAAAGTCTAGGGGAGTTCATTCCTTTAGCTTCAAACGGTAGTCGGTAAGAGCATGTCAAATCCGTTGAGGGCTGAGGATTTGCCAAAAATCCTAAGTCAACATCTCATACACGTTGCTGTTTAGTCTTTTCACAGGAGAAAGACGAAGTCTACGTATTCAATATCGTAGCACTAAAAGGGTTAACTCTTTTAACTTAACGTCACATGTGGAACGGACTTAAACAATCCGCATGCTAGCCCGACTCAAACGGTAGTCGGTAAAGGCTCATCAAACCCGTTGATGGCTGAGAATTTGCCAAAAATTCTATAAATACGAGTCATAGATGTATCAACTCCGTAGATTGGTCTCGTGACTCGAGTATCCGCCACGCTCCAAGAGAGCTTAAACTGTGTATACTCCAGCTTGGACGCCGGACAACGCGTTGTAAATGAAGATTCAACGCCAACGACCGATGATCAGTTCTATGTTGAAATAACCAACTCGAGCTAAAAAGTCAGAAAACCGAGAATCGACTTCAAATTCAAAATTCCGACAGATGATCAGACAATAAATGTAGCACCGAAACCCTTACAGACATTCGACAAAGCACCGAACAGCCTGGAGGACTGAAGGAATCAAGAATGGAAGCCACTCCAAATATCCAGTCATAACCAATCGAAGGATGGGACAATCATATCCAAAGTATTCCAGACTCTTCTATAAAAGAACGAGGCTGAAATACTTTGGAGGGGGTATCTGTAGGCGTATAAAACTACCTATAGGTCCCTTAACACAGCTCGACGACGCCGATTCGACCATCGGACGACGTATCCAAACACGACTGTTAGTCCGCAACACCGAAGCCAAGTGACACGCAACGAAGCGGATTAACGAGGCTACGAAGCTAATGAACCGCACGCAAACAACGGAATAAATCCACTCGCGTGCGGAATCAAGCTAACGGGTTGAAGAGTCAACGAGTCATCCAACTAAGGGCAGACTCAGACGAATCACGATCGAATCAAGATCAGTTTTGGACTCGAACTCCGAGACAAATTTCCTGCCATATCGGGATTCGGACTGCCAAATCAGAGTCTGGATCGACAAAGAAGCTCAGATAAACCACAGAACCGGACAACGGACACAACACGGCAACACCTGGGGGACTCGGCCAAAGCCTTCTCTGATTGCTTTATTTCCATCCTAGTGTCCTCCCGCAGAGTGTCTGATTCCAAACAACCCATTCGAAGTATAAATATTAAGAAAACATAGCCCCTTCTATCTAAACTTAACAATTTCATAGTAAACCTAACAACTGATGCCTAAACACATGGTGAAAAAGTTGCTAACCTATACAAGTTTGCGTCTCCCCATCACCTGCAGAAGGGACTTCAACCGCCGGCGTTATTTCCCTTCCAGTGCCCTCGCGTTGAGTGCCTGTTTCTGATAATATTCAGAGTATAAACAATAAAAAGCTTAACAACCAATACGTAGACATAACAACCAATCTCTAACATATAGTACAAAAGCAAGCTAACCTGTACAAGTTAGTAGCTCCTTCGCTGGCGGGGACACCTTCTCTCCCTCGTTTATTTCTGCCTCAAGGGCCTTGTCAACAGCAGATGCCTCTGGTGGAGGTAATTCTCCTGGCGGAGCATCTTCACTCTCCTTGTGGATATCAGAAAACAATGGTTGTGGAGAGGCCCTCCCTGTTGGAGGGGCCTCGCTCTCCTTATTAGCTTCATCAAATAATAATGATTTATTGACATCCCCATCGTACTGTACATCAATGCCACCCACGGTGCCTGGAGTGTCTGATTCAAAAAATAAACACAAATGAGCTTAGGTACTTCATTGTCAAAAAAAACATAGCATCAGTTACATAACCTTAAAACTAACCAAGATACTTAACAATCAATCTCCAACCTTGGCAATAAATCCCTGACCTTAACATTAGATACGTAAAGTTAACAATACATTCTTAACCTTAACAATAAATCCCTAACCTTAACATTAGATCAGTAAAGTTAACAATACATTCTTAACCTTAACAATAAATCCATATACTTATCAATCAATTTTTAACTATAACACGCAAACGTAATTGCAAGCCACATCTAACCTGTACAAGTTTGCGGCTCCATCAATGGGCTGGACACCAATCCTGTAGGGCTCTTATCCTTGTATACAGAGAGGGTTCCGGATCGTGCTTCGCTTAGTTCCTCTCTCAGTCTTCTATTTTGAGCAGACAGCTTAGCCACCTTCACAGAAAGAGCACTTATCTTTACACGGTCTGCAGCAATCATACCCTTGAATTTATTCTCGTTCTCGCGGCGTAATGATTCGTTCATTGCCGCGATGCTCTTCCAGTAGATAACTTGCTGAGGCCAATCCATTTGCTCAACTGCATCATTTGGCTGCTCGGCGTCTTCATCAATATCCTGTGGCATCACATATGCAACGGACAGGTAGAGTACTATTAAAAGGATTAATTAATTCAAAAACAAATAAAATCCACGATTGCTAAGTTCTTACAAGTGCATCAATTGGGATGTCGTCATCTTCTTCTCTCCTCTTCTTCTTGTGAAGAAGGTCTATTGGGCCACGAGCCCTGCCGGCGTCTACTGCAGCCGGACCCTTAATCCTCCTCTTCTCTCTCTCTCTCCTCTTCTCTTTCTCTATCCCCTGCTCCTTCCCCCAAAAACCTCCCTCGATTCTTTGAAGTTGTCCATGTTGCTGTGGAAGCTTTATCGTAGCTTTGCTTGCTTTCGCAACAACAGTGGCCAATCTCAAAGAACCAGCAACGTGCCCAAGTCTCACCCAATTTGTCAGGGGAGGCCTCACCGTACAACCAAGTGCTGGCTTCTTGATGCCGGTGAGTTCATAATACCACAACTGCACATTAGAGATATAAAAACTTAACAAACACCTTCATCCGTAACAATTAATAAAGTAACCCTAACAATAAAAACGTAACCTTAACAACCAAACCGTAATATTAACAACCAAACCGTAACCTTGACAACGAAACTGTAACATTAACAACTAAACCCTAACCTTCACAATCAGTAAAAAACATGATTACTTACACAAACTAGAGGGGTACACCCTTGCAGATATAATGTCGTCTTCCCTGGCTCAGGACCCTTCAGTGCCCTCTCTATCGCGTCAGATGTCTCACTGAATATATAGGTCCCCCAAGCAGTGTTGTTGACCTGTTCGATGCTGTCGACGTACTTGAATAAATGCCTAGGAACGCCGGAAACACTGCTTGGACACCAAATCATGCTCAGCTGATAGAGGATCTGTAGCAGGACAAAGTCCTTCACATCTCGGCGATCAGAAGATAGTACCAGCTTCAAGAGCAGGTCCTCCACATTGCGTCTGGTGGGGCCTCCTTTGGGGGGAGCTATACTGCTGGAACCCCCCGTCTCGGGTTTGTCAAAGAACCTGGACCAAATCCTATTTTTCCTGTCCCGATTGTGGTCAACATGAAGCCCCTCATTGGAGAACCATGTATGCTCCATTACCCACTCAAGGTTGAATGAGCATGGGATCTCTTCTCCATCATTCCTATCGGTGAAGACGAATTTTTTGCTCTTCTTGTCCCACTGACTCAAAATGTGCTCAAAGGTGGGAAGATCGACGCCAGGTGGGCCAAATTGGACGTAGTGTCTGAATACACTATCTTCGTAGGCCGCAAAATGCCTTGGCCCCATACGCGTCACCAAATTCTGCATGAAGTCGTGATAGGCACCGAAGCTGGCGGTGGGCCGCAACGTAATAGCTGGCTTTGCCCTTTTTCTACAAAACAAAAACACAAGACGAGAGCATTTTTGAGTATAATCAGTAAACATAACAGCTATGCTGTAAACTTTGCGGGTAAACCAACAACCTTAACAGCAACCACATAACCTTAACAACAAAAACCTAACCTTAACAACCAAAGCCTAACCTCAACAACTAAACAACAACCTTAACAATAAAGGCAGTAACCAACAACCTTAACAACAACCCCACAACCTTATCAACCAAAACCTAACCTTAACAACCAAAGCCTAACCTCTACAAATAAACAACAACCTCAGCAATAAAAGCATAGACCTTGCATGTTAACAGTAACCTCAACAGCTAACAGACACCGTAATTTTGGACCTTCCCACCAGACTAAGAGCATTATCAATCAAACCGTAACCTTAACAACATAAAACTTGCGGTAAAAATTACCTTTTGGGTGCTGCCACGTGCTTCTCTTCTTCTCCTCTCTGTAGACCAAGGAGCGCTCTAGTGGCATCGTTGGACGCGCCGGTGGTGCCGGTGCTGCCCTCTAGACCTTCGCGTGGGCCTACACTTAAATTTTGAGGCGGGCTTCTGGATGAGAATGGGCTGGTTGCGATGTCCTCTAGAACATCACCAATCGCAGCCCGAGCTTCAGATTCAGCCCGCACTGCAGTTGTCTGGGCTCTTTCTGAGATTTCGAACCGCTGGGCGTAATCGCTTTCGCTGTGGTCGGCATTGAGGTTGGCTTTGGGGGTTGAATCGCCGGCCATTTTGATCCCTTTGCTTTGATTCGGTTTGAGTTGGGGTCGGTTGATTTAGGGCTAGGGTTTTGAATTGGGTTTCTGGAGTCGGTTTGCTTGCAGAAGAGAGAGATGACAGGGTACGGACGAGGAGGTAACTCATAACGGGGAATTTTAAACGTAAGGGTATTTTGGGCATTTCGAGCGGGGTTTAAACGGCGTTACGCCTGGGGATTGGTTTTGGGGGCTGGAAGAAAATCGGGGGCGGTTTTGGGGGTAAAAGGAACGTTGAAAAGGTCTTGGGGGGGGCAGAGCATGTTTTGGGTTGTTTTGGGGGCTGGAAACAATTTTCCCTATTTAAAAAGCTAAAATTAGATCTCTAGATCATCAAAATTAATCTCAAATTCATCTACTTCAGATGTGGATCTAGATATTTCACTACAGGGTTGTAAATCATATCCATGACCTGGATGTAGATATTTGATAACTATATTAGTGAGATGGATATTTCTACTAACAAAGATATTTTTTTCACTTCTAGAGAAGAATCAATGACTTTTTTTATTTTTCTAAGATATTAACACTACAATATCAATTTATTACATCATGCTTACGTGTAGAGAGAGAGAGAGAGAAGAGAGAGTGTGTGTGTGTTAGAAACACAAAGTTTAACAAACATTATCATTCTTATCACCGTCACTTAATATATTTTCATTTTTAATTTTCCAAATAACACTTGATTCCTTTTTTTTCTAGAAGCACACAAAGGCATACCTCACGCCCTTGATAGCTGATGTTCTCCTTAGCTTTCACACTATCATCATAAACCAAACCATAACAATTTTTTAGGTTTTGTAATATTTTAGACCATGTAATACTTTAGAAATATTCAAAAATTAGATTTGTTGAATATTAGTTTTCCCTATAGTACAACTGGATATTTGTTGAGTGGGATTTAATTACTTTCACACTTATATATGACAATATTTATATACTAGCTAGTTTTTCAAAAACTTCGTGCATACAATTATATACATAACCTAACTTGTTAACAGCTCTAGCATGCATTGTTTTTAGAGTGCAAACTCCTTCATTCGTTAATTTAAAATATTTAACCTTGGCAAGAAAAGCCAACACGCAAAATTTTAAATTTGAACTCATATTGACTCTTGTTTTGTTGTAGTAAAATAACTACAGAACAAAATATTGTGATCTAAGCAACACCTAATTACATATGAATATAAATAGATTATGAGGGTCGTTTGCCAATCTATTTAATTAGTATTTTGCAAGTCAAACAACAATGAGCAACAGACAATTAGTGTAAGATTAAGAACAGTTTGACAGAATAACTGAATAGAGCATCTTGTCTTATTTTTCCTTACAAAAAGGTAATGCATTTTCATCCTAACCTTAATTATTTGTTTTTTCAACTGCGAGCATTACATTCAAAAAAGAATCAGTAAATATAAAAATATGATTATAATCTAAGGAAAATTAAAATGTTATTTGAATTTTCAAGGCAATAATTAACTTTTTTTTTGGCTCACCTCTAAAATTTACATGATACTCTAAATACTGTGGATAATGACCTTATCAAAATTTACGCCCCATCATTATCGATAAAAAAAATTAATTAAAAAAATTGACAAAGAATTATCACTTGACAAAAATGACTACTTGCATATTCCTTTACATCATGAGCATCATTAATCTTTCTTATAACCATGTTATATCACAAACCTATAAAAAATCTAAAATCTGACTTATAGCGTATTACTATATTTTCACATCAAAAGGCTATTTCGATCCTCTATAATATATATAGAGCATTAATGCCAAAAAAATAGTTATATCTCCTGCAAATTATTCTTTTCTTTCAGATTAGTGTCATCATATCTCATTTCACGTTAATTAGTATAGCACTAAATAGAGAAAAAAAGTCTATATAAACATTACAAATATGTAAAACCCAAGCAAACTTATCACGAAATAGTAAAATGGTAAGGGGCTGATGTGAAAGAAGGAGAAATTCACCCCCGTATTTTCTTTTGGTCGGTAAATCTAACAAATCCAACGTGTCCGCTTCTACAGTGCCCAGGTACAAAATCGGTTAGTCCGATTCGGAGGCTCAACCTCAACCATCCGATCAAAATCAAACGGTTGTAAATCAACAGCCCAAACCCCCAACTAATTAATTCCCCTAATAAATAAAGACAAAAATTACAAAATTCCAAAAAAGGACAAACAAAGCCAGAAATGGCAGCCTAGGTATAAAGCAGCGGACGCAGGTTTCAGATGGAGCGTTGGGACCGTCGCCCGCCATTAAAGCTCGCTACGTTCTCCGAGTTGCAGAATTAGGGCAAACAAAACCCTAGACAGCTTACAAAAGGTCTCACCTTTTGGAGCTAAATTCGCTGAAGTTTGATAAAGGTTGGGTTTTTTTTTGGTTTCGGATGGGGAATTGTTGGGGTTCGAGGATCAAAGCTGTGAATCCTTCGTTCAGTGCTCCGAGTTCAGGTACGACGATTTTCAGCTGTTTCGGTTTTGATTTGAGCTCGGGACATTGATAAAGTTGGAAACTTTAGTGGGAAGTTGATAATTTTGGTGCTTTATCTGGTTCTATTCTTGCAAAGTTCAATGTTTTTCTTTCCCCCCCCCCTCCCTTTAATTTAGTTAAAGTTTCTTTTTAGCGTTTTATAGTGCAAAATTGGCTTTGTTTAACTGAGTATTTTTACAGCTAAGATTGTGGATTCTATTAATTTTGGAATTGGAGTATATTTACTATGTGATTTAAGATTCAAGCCCAGTTTTCTGTGGTATTATTGGTTTTATTTAATTCTCTGTTTTGCTCTTGAGTTCTCTTCTAAATCTCTGTGTTGAATCTTTGAGATAGGATCAGTTAGAATCTAGCAATTTAGTACGTTCACTTTTTTTTTTAAAGTGTTTGGTTTCTTTTTAGAAAGTTCCTTTCTAGGGATTTGTAGTCCAGAAATGGTGTTTCCGGTTGAGAATCAGAAATTTGCCCTTAATACTTGAGGGTTTCACAGCTAAGATTGTGAATTATGTCCCTTCATGAACTCGATTCATATGTTTTTTAGTTACCCTTCAATTTTTTTTATGATCTTATTGATTCAATTGTTTCTAGAGTTCAAACTTTGTTTGGGAGTCTGCAGGTGTTAACTCTCGGAGCAGCAGAAAAGGTGGAAAGGAATTGAGTGGTTCTAGCAGTAGGGTTTCATCCTCTTCAATTCCTCTGACTCCTCGGAGCCAGGGCGAGATCCTGCAATCTTCGAATCTGAAGAGCTTCACCTTCGGCGAGCTCAAGAGTGCAACGAGGAACTTTCGGCCCGATAGTGTTTTGGGAGAGGGGGGGTTTGGTTCTGTGTTCAAAGGTTGGATCGATGAGCAGACCCTCACGGCGACTAAACCCGGAACTGGAGCTGTTATTGCAGTGAAGAGGCTTAACCAAGAAGGGTTGCAAGGTCATAGGGAATGGCTGGTGAGTGCTAAAGTTTAGTATGAAGTATGAAATATGTGATCATGTTTGTTTACAATGCATTAGAACTAGTTTGTACCACTTTCTAAATAGGTACTGTGATGTTGTAACCAATTATACCCCCTAAAATATTTATAGGGTAATTATTCTTTTCAGTAAAGTTGAGGATCAAAGACAATTTGTCGTCACATGATTTTCATGTGACATCTCAACCAAACGGGTCTCAACCAAACAGGAGAAATAATGTCGTCTGTTGTTCAGGGGCTGTAAGTGCTAATAAAATAGTCAGAGGGTATAAGTGATTATACACTCATATGATGGGCGTATGCCTGCAATGAAATTTTCTAAATAGTAATCGTCTAATATTTAGACACTTGTTACCCGTTCTTGATATAACCAGCGGTATTATTCCAGGCTAATTGTACTAACTAGGCAAATTGTAACTTTACATTAAGTGCTATGCGATTATGATTTAGGATGTGGTATCTCCAGCGTGAAGTCGTATTGGCTAGTATGCAATTCTAGTATATACTATGACAATATGGCATCCTTATCTTGTGGATATTGTGCAGGATGTCCACAAGAGTATTGAAATGGAAGTTATTTGTAATCTCGATTTTTCATGTAAATGTGCAGGCTGAAGTAAATTATTTGAGTCAGTTGCACCATCCAAATCTTGTTAAATTGATTGGATATTGTTTAGAGGATGATCATCGTCTGCTTGTTTATGAGTTTATGCCTCGAGGAAGCTTAGAAAATCATCTCTTTAGGAGTAAGTTCATATGATCGCAGCTCTTATTTTGTTGTTTCCAAGATTCATTTCAACTTTCTTGTATAATTTTATTATATCTAAGTACCTAGTTGCTTTCATTTTATTTGCACAGGGGGTTCATACTTTCAACCTCTATCTTGGAATCTCCGAATGAAGGTTGCACTTGGAGCTGCAAAAGGACTAGCCTTTCTGCATAATTCTGACTCGATAGTTATATATCGTGATTTTAAGACCTCTAACGTCCTTCTTGATTCAGTAAGTCAACTATAAAGAATTTTTTTTCCCCATATATGTGTTTAATTCCTATGTGCGGATATTTTAATGATTTTCTTATTCGTAATAGCAGAATTACAATGCAAAACTCTCTGATTTTGGATTGGCAAAAGATGGTCCTACTGGCGATAAAAGTCATGTCTCTACTAGGGTCATGGGGACTTACGGATATGCAGCTCCGGAGTATCTCGCTACTGGTAAAAGCCTGCTACCTCACAATTGTGATTTCGTATGATCTTACTCAGTTCAGAACCAAGCTGCTTAAAATCTTAGGTTAAAAATGTATACCAAGCGAACAGAACTCTTAATTAACTTAATAGGTGTTACTATGAATATGGTCTTTCTCGACGGCTCATAAATGATGTTTACAACTATTTCATAAGGCCTTTGTATGTGAAGAACTGCGTAAATATTTTTTTTCTTTTTCGTTTTGTTTTTTCCCCATGATAGATATTGGATTAAACTCACTATAAATGCTAATGACCTTAAAGAGATGCTTAATAATTGGTAGCACTCAGGACCTAGTGTGTAGAGTACGCGTCATCCCTATCATGTAAATAGTGAGCGTTAGAGCATCTCCAACAGCTTCCCTAAAATTTTCTCCAAATGGAGAAACAAAAGTCATATTCTCCAAATTATTTTTGCTCCAACTCCAACAGCTTCCCCATTTTGAAAAATCGCATTTATTACAATAATAAAGCTCTCCCAAAAAATTTGGAGAATGCTGCAGATTTGGGGAAGGCTCCCTATTTTTTCTCCTCCTTCCCTATTTTGGGGAATGGGATGGGGAATCTGTTGGACAAAAAAAAGCTCTATATTCTCCAAATTTGAGTATTTCAAGAAGATGGGGAAGCTGTTGGAGATGCTCTTATACAATTGTATTACCAATGTTGATTACTTCATTACTCCCAGCAATTTTTTCTTACTATATTCGTAGAAATTGCGTTGGTTGTCTTCTTTCTACTGTGGCAAATGGGGGAGCCACATTATGCAAAGGGAGGGCAAACGCCTCCACTGAAAATTATATATTGTATTTGTTCTTGAGGCCTTAATTTTGCCCCGGGGTTAGTCTAATGGTCATATTCCGATACTCTAGGTCACCTAACAACCAAAAGCGACGTCTACAGTTTCGGTGTTGTTCTCCTAGAGATGTTATCAGGCCGACGAGCAGTCGACAAGAACCGCCCCAATGGGGAACACAATCTCGTAGAATGGGCAAGGCCCTACCTCCTGAACAAACGCAAGATCTTTCGCGTACTGGACGGTCGTCTTGAAGGGCAGTATTCGCTCATTGGAGCTCAGAAGGCCGCGTCCATCGCCGCCCTGTGTTTATCATCGGACTCTAGGTACCGGCTGACCATGGATGAGGTGGTGTCTGCGCTCGAGCAAATTCAAGAGACGAAGGATACAGCAAGAAGCCCTCAGGTACAACGTAAAGTCGGTGCTGGTGCAGCTGCTCAGGGGGCTCGCGGGAAAAGTATGGAAGAAGTTGGGAGTAAGAAGGTGGCTTATCCTAGACCGGCGGCGGCCGCGGCTCCTCTGTCTCTTTAGAGATGAGGGGAGGTATGCAGAAAGGTTATGTAATTTATCCAGGTTGATACGAGATAAAGAGGATTTAGTAGAGAGTAGAACTTGCAGAGTTATGTATGTATTTGTTACCTATTCTCTGTCCCTTTTTCAGTTAGTATATAGTTTATTTGTTGCTCATCTTTTTCAGTTGACATAACTGCTAGAATATCAGTTTTTTTTTCTTCTTTTTTTCCCCGAAGGAAATTTAGAATTTTTTTTTTTTGGTGTTGGGAAAGTTGTTTTAATAATGGTCTCATCCAACGGTGTAAGCTGTATTTGTATTGTAAACTAAGAATGTATATTAGACTCGTATAGCCCTCAACACTTTCATGATGCCCCTGGCTTTTTTGTGAAACAGCCAGAAGATCGAGTATGTATCTAGCTTTGAATTTTGTTGGGAAAGTTAGAATGAAGGGTGCTAAATAGATATGGCATAAAGGGTTAATTGCGCATAACCCCCTGGCAATGTTACTGTTTTGAACTTGCTATCCCTGTAGTTTCATTATTCCACGTTATATACCTCTTTTTAAAAAAGAAAAAAAAAACTCTTTTACGCTTGGATTTCATTTTCACCCAAGGGCAATTATCTTCTGAAATTTAAAGAATGTGAAAGTTCTATCCTGGGAGAATATCGCAGCAATGAGACAGAAGCGGTACGTTCAAAACGAGGATGCTACAGGGGTACATTTGCAATTAAAACTAATTTAAATCATGTGTTAACTAACATTTTTGTCTGTTTTCCACGGTTTTCCACGGAGTTGGGCACATTTCCAAAGTTCAGGATCATGCTAGTACTGTGTCTCATAGCTAAAATATAATGTTTTTTCCCCTCTTTCTTTTTGCCCCTGTTATCAACACTGACTATTTAGTACATATAATGTTAGGGTTTAGGGTTATAATTGAGGGTTTACAACCTCCTAAATAATAGGGGTTGGCAACCCCGACTATTTAAAAACCGGATTAAGATAAAATGGGTTTATTTTTTTAAGGGGTTGTTTGGTTCGTTTTCTAGATATAGGGAAATGCATTTCTATGTACAAAAACATAAGTTTTGAGTTTTCCAAACTTTTCCAAGAAATAGATTGTTAAACTTTGGTTCGCACAAAAAAATGGTGGGAAATCAATGTATTTATTTTTCTTGTGTTTGGTTTGCATGAAAAAAGGGAAAACTTTTGTTTATATGGCAAAAAGCCGATGTGGCTGTAATTTTCGTCGATTTCATGAGGTTGAGGAAGGAATTGGTGGAGAGAAAAAATCTGATGTGACGGCGATTTTTACCGAGTTTCTCTTCTTCAACCCTAGCGAACCAAAGATGGGAAAAAACCGACGGAAAGCTTATATCCTACGTGGCCACGAAAAATCTGATGTGGAGGCGGTGTAAAATTTTTCCACCGAGTTAAAAAACGAACCAAACGGTCCCTAAATAAAACTCAAGGGGGTCTATTTTTAGAAAAAAAAATATGAATAGGTTTATTTAGAAAATTCTATTATTTAGATAAAAGTCATCATTTAAGAATGGGTCTATTTTTAGAAATGCCTTTGTCTGCTACTCATCCTTTTTATCATTTATTAGGTCTTGCTTGATCACCAACTTCCTCAATTGTTAGGGAGAAGTCTTCATTCAATGTCCACATTTGTATACACACACGTGCCACATCTAGAAAGGAAAGAAAGTCTTGTTTCTGTTTCAATTCCTCGTGAACATGGATACAAATATATACATGTTTCCATTTGAAGGGAAAAAAGAAAAAAAAAAAGAAAAACACAATTCGTATTCATAAGGCAGTGTGTGCATTGAGCTAAGATCGAAATAATAACAATCGTGTGAATGTGTGATCCATACATATAATGAGTTTAAATCAAACAGTCCTCAAGCAATAACCAAGTATGTTGTCGAACTTCTGGTACCTAGTTCGGGCCCACACGCTGGGTCCTAGAGATCTAATGCGCCTTAAGTTAAGGCCTGTTTGTTTGCTGAAAAAAAATAAGGAAAACCCCGCCACATATGGTTTCAAGAAATCTCCCACCGTCACATAGGATTTTGGTTTTAACCGATTTTCAAATTACACGTTTGTTTCGTTTTGTGATTTAAAGAAATGAGGGTGTCATGTAGGATGTCACGTCAGATTTTTGAGAAAACTCATTTCAGATCAACACCCTCTAAAAACGCTTGGAAATGTCACTTCAAATAATTTTTAATTACTAAAAGCACTTTCAAAACTGTGGTTGAGAATAAAAAGGATTATTTAATTGCTGAAAATACTATTGCTTTTGCGGCTGATTTCCATTTTTTTTTATGTTCAAACAAACACAATAAATGAAAATAGATGATTAAAAGACAATATTTAATTGTTAAAAACACTATTATTTTTGCGGCTGAGTTTTCTTTAAATATGACGTGGTAGAGATTTCATTGCGAAACAAACGGAAAAAAAAAAAGAAAAGCGAGAAATGTGATGAAATGTCTTAAAATAGGTTGGAAATAAAATGTGCTGAATAGATTGAAAATATGTGTTTTCTATTTCTTTTTTTTTTTTTACTTTCGGAAAACAACCAAACAGGCCTAAGCCCCATTCTTGCTAAGTTAAATATGCTGACCATCATCTTCAATGCAAAAGAAAATTTGAGGGTACGGGTTCCATTTAAGTCTCAATCTATCAACTACTTTTTTTCTTTTCGAAATGTTACCACTTTTGAGGAAGCAACAAATGTCACATCGAGGACTTTTCTCCCGAGCAACAACAATACTCAAAGAATTTTTTTTCCTTTCCAATTAAAAGGATAGTTGTAATAAAAAATAATAATTCTTATTCTTCATCACACCTTCGAAGTTTCAGTGTGTGACATGATCTATTGACACGGTAGCAGAGAGTCCAAGTTCAGCTCCAATCGGGCCACAAATTTGGAGCATATTTCTAGAAAACTTGATGGATCATGTTAAAATATAACGTTACAATCCTTTATTTTATTCATAACATTAAAGTTTTGATGCAGTGAAGGATTATTCATAAAAGTCGGATAATCTTTGACGTGAACAAGCATGAACAAATGTTGCCTTTCTCGTGTGGATTCTAGTATATAAATATTAGGTACTGATATTTCGCCTCGTACGATGGCTTCCATAAAACTATTGGGTGGCACTAGGAGCACATCCCCAATCACATTTCAAATCACACTCCCTCTCTCATATGCTACAGTACACCGGGCCTCACATGAGAGTTTAAAATTTTAAAATCCCATATGGGGTCCGGTACACTGTAGCATATGAGAGAGAGGATATGATTTAGAATGTGGTTGGGGGTGTGCCCCTATCATTTTCCAAAACTATTTTAGCTGTTTGGTTCCCTATCACAATAGAAATCTATAGTTGCGTACAAATGAATCATTTTGAACCATTGTTTCACAGTAACTGATTAATACAGTCGTCCACTACTACTAGTGATCTTTTTATCATGTAGTATTGACGTCCTTTTTATTATGGAAAATACTAAATATACTATTTACGCTTTGTTTGTGAGTTTACTAAGGGAAGGAACAGAAAGTTAAATAATAAAAAGGAAAGACATGAAATGAAAGTGAAAAGATAAATTATCGTTTGAGAGTTTAGTAGGGGGACGGAAGTAAATTTATTTTACATTGTTTGAGAGTTTTAATAAAGAGCACAGAAGTAAAGTGAATATGTATAAAGTTACATAAATGCCCTTACAGATTGAATGTGAGTATATATTAGCCGTTAATTTTAACGTCATAATGGTTTAATTATCTTATCACATTGTAAAAATTTACATTGATTTTCATTCCATTCTCTACCCCCAAATTGGAGGGGAGTAAAATAGAAGAAAATTTAGTCTTCCATTCCATCCTCTAACCCCTCAAAAAAAAACTCCCAAACAATATAAAATTGAAATTTTACTTTAACTTTTATCCATTAATCTTCATCCAAACAAGATGTAAGGGTTGTACTACTCTTGTACTCATGGTTTCTTTTTGCAATGCGAAATGCTTTTTGGCTCGCAAAAAGCAACGCGCAGCCAGCGCGCAAGAGAGAGGAACAGGGGGGTGGGCCCCACAGCTGGGGGCCCACCCCCCTGTTCCTCTCTCTTGCGTGCTGGGTGCGCGTTGCTTTTTGCGAGCCAAATAGCAGCTCTGTTCTGCAATGTACACGAAAAGTGTCCTTTTTTTGTGTGTAGCACTACAAGACTCTTATAGTATATAGTACGGCTATCACTAGCCTTTTATTATTGCAAATAATTAATATTGCAACTAATTAATACAGTAGTGGTGCTGTGCTAGAAAGATCACTAGTACTAATAGACAGCTAACGCAGATTTTAATGTAACAGTTGCAGACTTGCGGTTGATCAAGGCCCAACAGGTTTGATAAGCTTATTGAAAAAAGTGAAGATTATTACTTCCACTTGTAATTTTCGATGCTTGGGCTTTTAAGTTCTCCCGTGATCCTTCTTGGGCTTGAGCAGCCATCATCATGCAGGAGATTCATGTATAGCAATTATAGAGGACAGGTGCTCTTTCTTATATTCTAAGGTCAGGCCTTATTCATATTGCAATGGGCTGAGCGCCTATTACTCCTAGGCTCGGTTAGTTGGGCTGAGAATGTAATGTGGCTTATGCTGAACAGTAGTCAGAAGGTAGCAAGCAGTAATCTCCACATTAGGGGGAATTTAGAAAAAAAAAAAAACTTTAGCAATAACTCGAAATTTCATGGGTAAAATTATTTTATTGTAAAACTTCAAATTAAAACAAGAATAACCTTTTGTGCTGTTGGGGGTGTAAGACATTTTTGTACTTGTGTATGTGTTTGTATTTATATATAGTTAGTTGTATATGCTTATATGTTAATAGAGTTGTACCCAAATTTGGGTTCAAGAAAACAATGATTCCGAGCTTGGACTTCATAAAGCTGGTATTTCCTCTGACCTTCTCTACTTTTCTTTGATATATACACATGACATATATACCACAAATGCATACACTGAACCTTGATTATGGTGGATGGCGTTCTTTGCTTTCACTTTCTCCTTTGCGTGACGTTTCAATAAAGACGATACACATTTTAATTTTAAATCCTAAAAATGTTGAAAGCGATGGAACAACTCAATTATATACTTGTCAATATTATTTTATAGTCTATTTGTACGTAGGGTTAATTGAGGAGACAATTATGTGCTACGTGAAGGTTACAGCTAGGGGTGAGCACGGTTCGGTTCGGGTCGGTTTTTAGCAAAATTTGAACAACCGAACCGAACCACTTATAATTCAAAACCGAACCGAACCGTTGCAAATCGGTTCGGTGAGGTTCGGTTCGGTTTGTTC